AAAACATGTGGTCTCTTATATTTAGTTGAAGTAAATACATATTAAAAAAGCAAGACTTTGTTGTTTTTTTCTTTATAAATTAAAAAGAAAGACAATTGAACATTATAGAAGCTACTAATTGATCTGTTTACCAACGAAAATTTGATACGATATATACTTGATGAAATAAACTATGAAATCATGATGTTTGGTATTTATATCCTAAATATAAGTAACTACCTATATAAATGTCATATGAATTTAAAAATCATGTTACAAAGATGATTGATAAAAATAGGAAGTGATAGAATGACTAAAAATAAAATAAAGTAAAAAATTGAAAAAGAGAAATAGTAGAAAAAGGGTATGGGGAAGTTGGAGAAAGTAGGGATGGCAAAAATTTTGGTGGGTAGCAACTTGGGAGTACAAAGGTGGGAGTTCTTATGGGCAAGGTTTAAATATGGGGATGGAAATGTCAAAACTTCTAGAAAAATAATATATATATATATATATATATATATATATATATATATATATATATATATTTAAAATAATAAATAAGTATTTCATGATTTTTTTTTCAATAAGTTATAACTTTTTTATTATTAGTATTATGTCAGTGATATTTTATTGATATTTTTGATATTTTTTAGGATAAACACATCTTTAGTCATTGACGTTTGAAATGTAAGTGTCCATTTTTGACTAGATACTTCTAATTTTTGGAGATTTGTAAAATAGTTCTAAATAATTTCTAAAATACTTTTAACTATTAATTGACTAACTTTAAGATAATAGGACTCTTAAATTGCTTGCTGGAGTAGTTGATTTGGCCAAATTTGTTAATTTTTTATATATATATATTTATATAATTGAACTTTCTCTCTTCTTCCTTCTTTCTTATAATATTATTAAATTAATAAAAATTTTACCAAATCAGTCCTTAAAGTCATCAATTTAATAGCCACCTTATATTAAAGTTCTTTTTTGTATTTGGCAACTTTTTTTGCGATATTATTTATAAAAATTTTGATTGACCTCTTGTGTAATATCGAACTCATTCATATATGAAAATGTTGACGTATCGACAAAAATTTAATACTCTTACTTATAGTTATAGGTGGGAGACAATGAAAATTTTTCCCAATTTTGATAGGAAACAACATTTTCATTAAGAAAAGAAAAACAAAAACATCAATCTAGGGGGTGGGAGCTACATTTTCTCCTACCTAATTGTCAATCTCATCTTTGACTTTTTAAGTTGAACCTTTTTTTTAAACTATATATTTATTGATTTTTTTTTTTCGTTTTCATGAAAGACATATTTTAAAAACATAAATTAAAT